AAACAAACTTCTCATTATTTTTTATTACTCATTAATTACTTCTCAAGAAACTTACTTTTAGCGTAACCCAGGAACAACGACGTGGACGTAGTAGTTTTCTGTTCCCTTCGGGGTGCTTGATTAACGTGAGTCCCCTCGCCTCTCACGATTCGGAGTACTCAGGGAATCATCTTTCAATTAAAGAAGGTGCTCAAAGTGATGACCTTCGACTTCAATGCACTTGTTAATCCGCAATTCAAATGAACGTACACAACTGATGAGTGTATCTCCTTGAATTTCAGCACATGCATTTCTGATTCGGTCAATCATATTCTCACGTGTTGTTGGTTCTTCTTTGTACACTTTGTCTTTGAGATAGCCCCACAAAAAAAAATCTGGTGAAGTAAGATCTGGTGTTCTAGCAGGCCAATTTACCGGACCAGCTCTACCGATCTAGCGACCATTAAAAACACGATCAAGAACTTCTCGTGCTTCCACCGAATAGTGTGCCGGACAACCATCATGTTGAAACCACATGTTCTGTCGTATTTCTAAGCTCAAGTCTTCAAGTAATATTGGCAGTTCATTTTCCAAAATGTCTCGGTACTTTGGACCATTCAAGTTGCCTTCGATAATGTGGGGACCGATCAGTTTGTTGCCAATAATTCCACACCACACGTTGACAGTCCACGGACGCTGATGTTCGACTTGACGAAGCCAGTGCGGATTTTCAACACTCCAGTAATGCATGTTGTGTCGATTAACTGTTCCATGGTTTGTAAAGGATGACTCGTCGGAGAACAATACGTAATAAAAAAAGTTGGGATTTTGGTGTATTTGTTCACTTGCCCACTCACAAAAAACTACCCGATTTTGGAAATCAACGCCATGAAGTTCTTGATGTAAAGAGACATGATACGGATGATATTTATTACGTTTTAAAATTCTCAAAACACTCTTCTGAGACATTCCGGAATTGCGAGCAATTTCTCGTGTACTAACATGAGGATTATTAGCAATTGCAGCTAATACAGCAATTTCATTATTTTCTCTCGTGACTGTTCGATTACGGGACTTTTTTTGTGGTTGAACACTTCTATCGGTAGTAAATTGTTTGATAATACAATAAAATGAAGCACGTGACCGAATTCTAGCTGGAAAACGCTGAGCCTAGAGATCGATAGCATTATCAAAATTTCTTCCAGCTTCTCCATACACCAGAACCATTTCAATTTTTTCTTGTACAGTTAGATACTCCATTCTAAAGTAGTATTCGGAATAATCTTCGATTTAAGTAAAGCGAGTTTTGTTCATTCCTCGTGGCACGCACAGCCGCAACACTGAGCTGATTCATTACAAATAATTTGTAACCCAGGAAACACTGTTAATGTAAATATTTACTTTAACAGTGTTTCCTGGGTATTATTGAGCTCTGGCGTATTTTAGAGGTCAGACGAGGCCAATGACACACTTTGAGAGTGTTTACTCTTTTCTTTTCTTAAATACAGTACAAATGAAAAAAAAAAAACTTTAAGACAAAACTCACTTTACTTAAATCGAAGATTATTCCGAATAC